GCAATGCGTGGATGAAGATATACGCGGCACGGCCTAAATATGGTGAGAACATTTCTTTTGTGCTTCCCAATGCACAGATAGGTGTCGCCAACTTCGCCTTCCTTTGCTTTCATGATGCATATTACGGGAACACGCTTCCTCATCTGCTTCCTCATGATCTGCTCACACGCCGCGCCGGTCTTTCCTTGGATGAACATTCCCCCAAAGAAATCCTTTGTAGTAAAATTACGACGTACTTTATTTTCCTCTGTTTATTTGCTTTTAAGTAAATTGGTTAGGTTATGTTGAATTAGTTTAGATTAGGTTAGGTTACGTTAGGTTGGGTTAGGTTGCTAGGTTAGATTCGGTTAGGTTAGGTTAGGTTAGTTGAAAAATATTTTAACTAACATGACCTGACGTAACCTAACTTAACCTAACCACCCTCAAAGTCTAGAATTTTTAAGAACAATTCAATTACAGTGAATAAACAGAGGAAAATAACATACTGCGTAATTTTACTACAAAGGTTTTGTTTGGGGGAATGTCCATCCAAGGAAAGACCAGCGCGGCGTGCAAGCAGATCATGAGCGAGCAGATCATTGCGGGTGCCCGCATATTACATTGGATTTGTCATCTGCACAAGCAAGGAAATCGTGGAACTATGCTGGGAATCTTGGGATCAAATGGATATTAGGTGAAATTCTGTAACACAAATGCGGTTAGTTTTTCGTTCGTAACTTAGCATGCTCTTCAAGTTNATTTGTCATCTGCACAAGCAAGGAAATCGTGGAACTATGCTGGGAATCTTGGGATCAAATGGATATTAGGTGAAATTCTGTAACACAAATGCGGTTAGTTTTTCGTTCGTAACTTAGCATGCTCTTCAAGTTCTTGATCACTGCTTGATGACCAACTTGACCACCAGGTTTCGCTAGATCGTCTGATTTCTTCTGAAAGAAAACTAGAAGGTGAAATTCTGATGTGCTAATTCCTGTAGCTGTTTCACCATCATCAATGCTTCATCAACCTTTGCGTCCGCAAGATCGCGAGTTCTTTGCCATAGTGTTTTACTGCGACTTTATTGGGAAAAATGAGAGAATAAAAATGGATTGTACACCTTTTTGTGATTGTCGTCTGACTTGAACGTTGTACAACCTTTGCGTCCGCAAGATCGCGAGTTCTTTGCCATAGTGTTTTACTGCGACTTTATTGGGAAAAATGAGAGAATAAAAATGGATTGTACACCTTTTTGTGATTGTCGTCTGACTTGAACGTTGTATTTCTTTTATATAGACAACTGACATCATTAATCAACGTAGCATACACACAAAAAAAAAATACCGAGGATTGCTATCAAAATAACCCGACAGTTGCATTTCGGTGTCATGGTAACCTGTATCTTCACATGCAGAAAGCATATTTTCAAATTATATCTTTCATATTCACAGAACAAAAATAAGGCCTAGCGTAGAATGGATGATGTGAATTTCGAAAATGAAAGTTCATTTTTCGAGGTTGACAACGCGTCACACACTCACACTACAATGGTTCAATTTTTGGAAACGAAAGCCAAACTCAATGCATGATCAGATGGGAATTTGAAGATTCATTTGCTATGCAACAGGCAGCAAGCACTTATACAGTTTACTGAAGTAGACGTGGAAGAAAAACATCGCGCTAAATACGAACATGAAAGTTGGTCATGAAGTCGGGTGTGCGTTCGATAATATGCTGAAATTCGATGAAGGACAGCTTCCCGTCATCGTCGATGTCGCCTTCTTCCATGATTTTGCCGACAATGACGTGGACTTCATCCTTGTCCAGCCCACCTGAAGTGAGCTCGTTTGCGGCTTGCTCCAAGTCCGACCATCCCAAGTACCCGTCATCGTTGTAGTCTTCATCGTTTTAGAATGTAAGGGAAAATGAGTATATTCGGATTTGAGCACCCAATTCACCTCCTGCATGTACAAGTGCACTGGTGCCTCCAAAACACAATTTGTTCCCTCACCGCATTTGTTGGACATTTTTTCCCCTTCAGCTTTAATGTAAAACGCAGGTTCCTGACAGGAAAATTGGACAACATGTTCTAACAATGTACTGTAACTCCTTTTTTAAAAACAGAGGACAAATTCCTGAAAATCCTGGTATCATTTATTCAAATTATTATGCTCATCAAATTATCCAGCCCTCTTATTATATGGATAACCCATTCAAAGTGGAACATGCATCAATCATGCATGAGCGACATATAGGAGCAATGTGCAATATTACCCATATCTTATGAATTTATAAGGATGTCGCTTTTGCATGAATTAGAAAATAATGCTGATTTTAATCATTTTTGTCGAATATTTTGTATTGGAACACATGCAATTTCTTGTCTATTGACGATAGAAAAGAAAAGGCACCACATATTCATTAATTCTGAAAAAAGCCTCGCATCAATGAACATGGAAAAGATAACGAGTAGTATTTGCATCAGTAGCCAGGATTTCTCACCGAAAATTCGAAAAGCATAAGCGACTCGAATCTGTCTCGGAGATGCTTCGCTTAACACGGACATCATGTCCAGGAAGTCGTCAAAAGTGAGCGCGCCGGAGTTGTTCTTGGAGAACACCTGACACAGACGTTTCCTGAACGGATTTTCCTAGTAAGAATATAAAACGAAAATCGCGAAAACATGGGGATCATTCATCTTCCCAATAACAGAGGTTTCGAATCAGAAAGGTAGAGTTGAACATGTAGTATCAGTCGAACCTCCAGCACCTTCACAAGCAATAATAATGCGGGAAAAGTTTCAACGTCGCGTGACCTTGAGAAACAGCATTTTCCTCACTTGATTTGTATTCACGTTTCGTACCAGTGTTTGGTGCGATGTTTACGAACGTTTTCAATTTATTTCAATTTTTACTCGCCCTCCTCATCCATTTGTTGAGGTTATGAAGGTCCAACTGATTTTGACCAGGGAACTGCATGCTAATGCACATCCTATCAAAGACACTACCTATCAAAGTTACCAACAGTAATGGGGTCGCTGGAATAAGGTGGTCAGGTGCAAACTGAAATAATCCTATCCCATGCAGACAGACCCTTTCTCAAACAAGTGTACTGTTACGAATGGTATTTTTATCATTCAAAGGTTTCACTTGTGTGAACCTGTT